CTTTGGGTGGGGATGGGTCAAGTTGGGGGTGCTCCAGAAAAGAGTGTCAAATTGTGTATAATTGTGTATAGCTTGAATTACCTTGGCCTCTATGAATCTCTATTATTATTGACAATTATCATATGTCCACAGAATTTCAGATTTAATAAAGGCATTTAGTAATCCAGTAGTCTAATTCCCCAATGCTCTTCATATCATAAAGTCAATAAATATTGGTTGAAATGAAACCATTCATTTCACATATAAGAACTAAAACTCTAGGTGTTTCTCAATTGAAGAAAATCGAGTATTATACTGATATGTGATAGGTTACTTCCAAAAACTTGTATGTATGAGAGTTTTGAAAATTAAAGTATTAGTCTGTGGCAGCTTACCATTGAATTTGTGGTCAACCCTTTCATAAAGCAGAAATCACACCTACTTAAAAATCTTATACTTGATTATTTGATCTTTTCATATGCAGCTTTTCCTTCTACAGCATTAATGTTAATTTGTCAGTTTTTGAATATGCAGTAGATATCAATAGGAGAAAATAACCTAATAGATAATATTGAAAAGGAAATTTCCCCATAAGAATATACTAGAGTAATTTATAAAGTATATAATCTATACCTAAATAATGAGGACTTTGTATTTTTCAAGTGGTTCAGGTACAAATCTGTTAACTGATGTCTCTACCAGTATCTCTGAGCTGAAAGCAAAAACAATCCAAGTTGAAAGGACACAACATTTTAAGTTCATAGATATTGATTTTGAGCATTTTACACACAGGAACTATGTCTGGCCCATTTTAGGTACTCAACAAATAATTACCGCATTGACAGTTTATTGAATCTGTCAAGGACTGTAAGATAGTTTTTGGTTAGATATCTTTTCTTATTGAGCCCAGTGTGTAATGCACTATAGCAGTTAATAAATGTTAGCCACTGCTCTTTTCCATGACTTCTTAACAAATAATTTATTTCTGCAATATATGTACAGCATATATGAAGAGGCATCTATACAGTCTAAAAATGACCAAAAAGGAGATCCAATCAGAACGGAATATAGGCAAATGGATTTCTAGGTCCTTTCATAACTAGTTATAGCACAAAATAATACATGCATATATATAATCCTCCAACATGTTTCCGAATCTATAGCTTGAACTGGTAGCTTGATTATTTGACTTAGTGAAGCAGTGACATTGAAAAATTCATTATTAATCACATTCTGGATAGAAGTCATATAATCAATTATCCTGAAACGGGGAAAAATACTCTAAATCTGAACTTTTAAAGAACTTAAGGAAATTTATTCCTAAGGAAAAAGCCAAATCAGAAAGTCGGTTAAAAAAAAAATCTCTAAGTCACCCCAGTCCGGACCCCCTCTGATTTTGAGAGCTGTCTACTTTTTGCTCTAATAAAACTATCCTCTGCTGTAAACTTAAAAAAAGTCTCTAAGCAACTTAAAACTGATGCTACAATGTCCTTGCACAAAGGTCGCAAACTTTTTCTAAAGGTGAGTTCCTCAAAGTACCTATTTATACTCTTGAGACAGTTTTGCTCAAGCTTCATTATGTGGTTTTCTTGCCTGTAGATTAAAAGCAGTAAATTAAAAGGGTGGGGAGGATAATAGAACTATGTTCACTGACAGCAGTTAAGAAGCAACAGCTGACAGTGAGGGAAGGGACAGGCTAACTACAACAGACAATAGCACTAAAAAAGCACAGCTATTCAGACTGAAGTGTGAGCAAACAGCTTCGTGCACCATTACAGGAATAGAGGACTCTATCTGTAAATGTAATAAAATGAATATTCATGACTACCAGTTTTCATACGGCTAGAATGCATACCTTATTTCCCATGGGTATGTAGAAATTTTTATTCTAAATCTGAAGAATTTAACTGCTGTTGGTCACATTATCATGTCTCAGACTAGAAGGGCCTACTGCCATGGTGAGTCATGCAACCTTTCAGCTGTAAGCACTGTGCTCACCACTGTTCACTATTACACCCTAACACATTATTGTAAGAACCTCTATAACTCATTACGAGATTACCAAAGGCAACATCCCTTTCTTAAATCTATTGTTTAAATAGTTGATTCCAAACTATCCTTCCCTAGTATTCCATCACACAAGAGCCCTGAGATAAAAACCACTGACTTTTAGTCTTTATGCCCGTTTTCTCTAAAATATTATGTACCTAACTGTGTTGCGAGGATTAAATGAGATAATGTATATAAAACACTGGGGCAGTGTAAAGGCCTCCGTAATGATCACTATTATTACTTTAGCACTGTGAATGTATGTAGGCCCAAATCCCTTATTTTGCAGGTGCAAAAATTAAGCCTTAAGAATAGAACCGACTTCCTAAGGCTTCACTGCTAATGTTATTGTCTTGGATAAGCAGCTTAGCTGCGTGTTGGAGGTTTGGGGTAGTGGCTGGGCCTGAGGGAGGGCATGTGCCTGCAGGACACCCGTCTGCAGAGAATTGGGCGAGTATATGTGAACCGTGAAGTATTAAGAGGCTGTGCAATCCCAACGGCAGCGGTTCGAGCTAGCCAGCAGTGTGGTAATAACATCCATCCCAGAAGGAAGCCTATTCGTCTATCTCAATACAGCAGGTTGTCAAGTAACCAGGGCCAGGAAAGCAATAGGATAGGGGGTCGAGCACAAATCCCAGTACGGTCAACTTTAAAGAGGGGCGAGCACTTTCTTTAAGGGCTGAAGATCGAGGGGAACTAGAAACTAACTGGGCGCTACCTCAGGAAGGTGTAAGTTACCCCGCCCCTCAACGCCTTTCGCGGCGGTGAACCGCCATGCGTTTGCACGTCCTCTGGGGAGGGCAGTTTTTTGCTGCTTACTGGCACTTACTCCCCGCCCCGTAGGTACGGAGTGAGGCTCGCTGCTCGTTCTGGAATGAGGGCCGGACCAGCTCCGACCTTCCCCTCCGCGCGCCACGCCGCGGCGGGGCGGCGGGAGGCCGGCGCGCTGCCCACACGCGCGGCTCGTCTGCTCTAAGATGGCGGCGAAGGCCGTTCGCTCACGCCTCGCCGCCTGCTCTCCTCCGCATCTTGGCCTCGGGAGGCGGGAGCCGGCCAAGGCGCTGAAAGCAGGCGGGCAAAAACCGGCTCGGACCCTCCAGTGCAGGGCAGGCTCCGGAGCTCCGAAGCGCCCAGGCATGCTATAGACGAGGCGGAAGCATCTAGGATCACCGCCGTAGCCTTAGAAAGCAACGGGGGAAAAAAAGGGGGTGGGAAGAGAGAGAAAAAAAAAAAGGAAAAATAAATAAATAAATAAAAACGGCGGCACATCCGGGACCCTCCGCCAGCCCCGCCCCGGAAGTGACGCTTTAGACGGGGCGGAGGCCACACTTCAAAGTGGGTTCTTCCCCGGCTGATGCTGGTCTTCCCAGAAAATGTTTGGAATTGCCTTCAATACCTTTCCCCGTTGGGCTAGCCCTTACCCTCTCGCGACTCGGGGCTCCTTTGCACAAAGCTCGCTGCTGGAACTGGTAGCTCTCGGTCCACAAAACGTACCCCTCGCACCACGCCCCTAAACTCCCGGTTCAGCCTCGCCAGCGCGTGCAGTAGCGTACCTTAGAGAGGACTGGGGTGAGCCTAGCTCCTGCCAAACCTGTGAGCTTCTATTTGGAGGCCTTAATGGGAAACCCGGCCTCGTGCCCCGACCAGCCCGGGACCTGGGGTTGTCAGTCATGGCGCTGAGCCCGCCCCTTCCGGCGAAGCGCGGGGCCCGCCTCCTCCCCTTTTCCCTCCCCCACCCCTCCCCTTGCGAGTGTCTCCCTCTCCCTTTCGCTCTCTCTCTCCCTCTCTCTCTCTTTTGTGAGTTATAGCAACCGTTGCCTTGTGAATCAAGCGCCATAGTCACCGTAGTCCTGGCGACTGTTACCCATCAACAACAACTACTCCTCTCCTCCTCCTCCTCCTCTTCCTCCTCCTCCTCCCCACCACCACCATCTCCATCACCCACCAACAACACCACAATAATCCACAGCCAAGGTGAATATTCTTCGGTCTCTACATGTGTGTGGGAGCGTGTGGATGCGTGTGGACGCGTGTGTCCGTGCGTGTGTGTGTCCGTGTGTGCGAGCCGACTGTGGCTGTGCGGGGGTCTCACTCCTGACACCGGGGGCTGCCGCTGCGGCGCCGCCGCCGTGGGGTTCCGTCCCCCGGGCTTGTTTACAATGGACCGTGCGCGCCGCGGCTGGGTCGGGGGTGTGGGCGCCGCGCAGCCCGCCCGCCAGCCGGCCCGGGCCCTCGGCGGCCGCGCTTCAGGGATGGAGCGGGAGCTCGGGGGGCTGCGAGATGAGCGGGAGAGGGAGCCACAGTTTTCCGTTGCGGATGGTGGAGCTCTCCCCTAGGTCTGGTCTGAAGAGGAGAGTCAGGTGAAGAGAGGAGGGTTTTTCTTTTCCTTTAATAATTTTTTTTCAAAGCTGCTTGTTTCCTGCTTCTTTCAAAACCGAAATAGACAACAATGTGCAGGGGGTGGGGGGGCACCCAAGAGGTAGTGTTTTGTTGTTGTTGTTCACTTGTGGGGCCTTGTTAAGGGTTTTGTTATTTTTATTCTCGTACAACGGTGAACTTTTCCCACCGCCTATTCCCTTCATTTTTGCCTTGTGCTAAATGGGCTGCTCTTTTTTTAAAAACCATCATCAGCTGCACGGTTTTCTTTTTTCTTTTAAAACTGTTTTCTTTGTGCTGCAAACAGTCTTAATATCCATTCGGCAC